CTATCTATCTACCCCCATCTCTCTTTACATCTATCACTATAAATAACTTTTGCTGCGTCAATAAAAAAAAACAACAACAACCAAACAAACAATCTATGGAAGACGCATGTTCTGTAGGCCTAATATTTAATTACCTACCCTTGAAATACATTTTCCACCATCTTGAACTTTGAAAAATAAAAGCTCCATGTCGTCACCAACTCAATTTAAATGTAGATCATTTTTGTGGCGGGCTGCTTGGTTAACCCTGGCTGCCATGGCTAGTGTGGGCTGGATTTTTTTTTGTTTTTAGGGGGGTTGGTGGTGTTATCGTCTGCAATTTGCTTTGGGTTTTTTTTTTAGCTGTCCATAGGATCAGTATAATCATTGCATGGGATACGCAGCATGCGTCTTATGAACCACAACTCGGTTCATAAGTTCGGCAACTTGATTCACAATCAGGAGATTGTAGGTTCGGAGGACTGACTGATGTTCAGCTCGGCTTGACGTTGTATCCCTGTGAAAGACCTTTTCTTTTACTCAAATTTTACCATTTGGCTCACCGTTCTATCGGAGATGGTCGTTAGATTTTTTTTTCTTTGGGGGGGTGGGGAGTGGTATCTCGCCTCTTAAATAACCTTGCAGTGTTACGAGTGTCGACAAAGCTGTAAAATTTCGCACATTAAGCAGTACGTGTATCTTCTTGTAGCTCTGCAATAGTAGGCCTATGTAATAATGATAATTAATGACATTTATATAGCGTTCAACCTGGATTCAGATTAAAGTACCCAGGCTCTGAACACTTTTCAGTGCAATAAAACAGTAACATAAAATGGTGTGTTATGACCAAAAGAAAATCACTCCAAATAGTCCTCTTATTAATTTAAAAACAGAAATGACTTAAGCTGACATTTGAATAAATCATTAAACGATTTAATCTCTCGTAAAGTAGGCTACTTGGCAAAGCATTCCAGATCTTGGGGGCTCGATATTCAAATCTGAAATGGTAACTTTTATGAGAACTTTTTGTGGCCTTTGGTACGACGGGACGCATAGAAAATAGGATAAAAGTAAACATGTGCCCTCCATTCTGACTTACCTGACCTACTTACTGCTCATGTATCAGGACAGTATCGCCCCTCCCCCCGGGGGG